AGACTCTAATTTATCGGTTTGATCTCGCGTAGGGTGGGTCTCGCGAAGATGGCAACGCGTGTTCCCGCGGGATGAGTTATCATTCAAATTGTAGGTTTCGATGAGCCATTTAAATGGCAATCTTCTTTACTGGTTTGAACAGCGGCGTTCGAAAAAAAACCCGGTTTTATTTTATTGCAACGGGTATTCCTCGATGTTGCACAGTGCTAAGTGGTTCTCTCGGCGCCACGAGCATTGCTTTTCATTAAATTTTTACTCGCCACGCAACCTTGTTACATAAATCATCGGCTTTAATACGCACAGTTTTCGTTTATCACCTTGCTAAGCTGGAAATTGCTGTAAAATGAATACGTCCTTCAAGAAACGAATAATCGGTTTTAAATACACTGTATCGTATTGCCACGTATATCTTGAAGTAGATCGATCAATCTTGCGATTGCATCAAGCGAAAGTGGATGTTTCCAATAAACATAAACTCGTTTATGACGGTAGAAATGATGTATTTATAGTTTACAATCCTTGGTTCTAAGTTAATAAAATCTAGAATAGCTGGTGAGCTGAATGTTCGCCTAGTCCTAGTGGTACTCCACCTATCGATGTCAGTGATGTAAATGTGGCTCGTTACGGAGCAGAAGGTTCCTCCGTGTGGGGCAACGCGCGGTAGCGTTGGCATCCTGACCTTAGCCTCTTACTTACACGGCGACCTTACCGTGGCCGAGGTGATTTCCTGGTGTACGCCTTTCCTTCGACGTTACCAGTTACTTATTGAGAGAACTGGGCAATCGCGACGAGCCACACGATTTATAGCATTCCTCGCTCGGGAATGAATTCGAGGTGAACGTAAATGCGCGTCGTGTGACACCCGACGATAACACTCGATTGCAAACAGTTGCTCGTATTTTCTTATGCATCTCATTAATGATGAATATGAGTGGATTTAGCGACAATAGAATATCACTGTGTTCATATAAAATTCAAATAAACGAAATATTTTCAAGAGGAGACATTCCATTATCGTATGATGTTTTTTAATTCTAAATTGGAGCAACGTATTCTTCATATTTTTTAAAATCGAGCATGACCCACGGTAACGTTCCGAGCTAGCATATATATTATTGAGTCTTTGTCCTAAGTTCTAGTCGATGATCACAATCATCTACCACATATTACCGCGCGCAATCTAAACCTTCGGATCATACTTCCCACGAGAAATTCCCAAGAAGAGGCAGAAGAGGAACACCAAGATGAAGCCTCAGAAAGAGCGTTCCAAATCCAGGTGAACATGTATGCAGGTGTATATAGAGAGGGCTCGTAATGGGAACGACTATTCTAAGGCAGTACACGATCGGTGATCAGATTTAAGAAAAATCGGGGTCCCTCCGCTTGGCAAGTTCGAGGATAATCCGTTAGCGCGATTATCTTGCGATCAAAAGCGGCGAAGTCGGTCTGCGAATGGTGCATACACTCTCTGTCATAAATACGAGGACACCTCTGAGTGTCGAATAAATGTGTACAAGAAAATCTGCCTCAGATTTTATTGCCAAGACTAGAAGACGAATAACGGAATATCAATTATGCCAAGGTGTGTCACATCTCAGTTTGATTCCATTTTCATCATTATGTTACTCAAGATCATTTTCACAATTGTTTTTCGTTACCCGTACTTATGAGCCGGAGTGTACGCGAGGATAGAGAAAACTACTATGAGAAAGACGCGACGGACGGAGGCGAAAGAAGAAGAGGAAGAAGACGAAGAAGCTGGAAACTTAATGCTCGTGGTACCGCGACCACGCCATACCACGCCGCTGCGGCGCGTCGGTATATCGGCGGAGGAATGGTTATGGTGCCCGGCCCACGCAATCCGTGGGTCATGGACCATGATCTATGGAACACACTGGAATACCCCGTTATGCGCTAAAGTGCAAACTTGTTAGTCATAGAGTTGCTCGGTGTCGATGGGACATCGGGCACCGTGCGCTTGCCCTCTCAATGCATCGACGCAACCAGCTCGTGCTCGAGGGAGACCTCGCCGGAGGTGTAGTACTTCCCGAGCTCTCCCTTCCCTCCATTCGAGTCCGCGTTGGTGTTCCTTTGTACCACGACTTCGAAACACAGACCGCATCTCCGTGACACAGCGACCACGGGTCGTGGGGATGCCGTTATGCCCTAAAGTGCAATTCTCCTCTTCCTTCGGCTTTTCTAACTCTTATTCCACGTTCACTGGGTCGTACTTCCTCTCTCCTTTCTTTAACGCAGAGGGTCTCGTCTAGGAATCCTCTGAGATTTTATTATCGATCTATTCGTGTTTCATTCGTAAGCTGGATCTTTCAATATTTATCTTAACTCTTAGTGCATAATAGAATCGATAAAAACTGTGCTGAGAAGTTTCAAACATTTTGCCTGCAGCGACGATACGCTTATCTCGATTACTCATACCTCCCAATTTTGCGATATTCACACCTCGTTGCAATTAACTTTGAAGTCTCGTAACGTGGCCATCAGCATTAGAGTGAATCGGTTACTTCCACCGCAGGATTTCTTACGCGTTAGTAGATTACCGAGATCAAGCTAACGGAGAGAACTCTCGTTGCTCGCGTTATCGGCCAACTGTGAGTCCGGAGATACGAAGGGTTCGCTAATGAACAGCCACCGTGCGCACGGTGAAGAATACCCGATCGGTGTTAATAATTACACCGTGTTTACTGTGCTAATGCGCGCAAGGTGGAAACTGAACTCGCGAGTAAAACGCAGAAGTCTTCGATCGTTCGACCACGTTTGCGTGCCGTGAGCGGGTCTCGCCGGCCACATCGGCGTAACATTATACACACATATGTATCTTGGTGTAATTACGACACGCGGATGTGCTCGGCTGCGTGCCAGTTCGCGTTCAGATTGCCCGCCAGGGCTTTAGTGGTAGGTGTAGGTACTAGTTGAAAATCGAGCGGAGATCATCGGACCGGCAGAGCGATCGAAGTTAACAAGAAAAAGAGACCGTGTATCAGCGTCCCGGATCGCGGGAAGTGATTTTCTAAGGGAAGTTCGTGACCCAAGAAAGATCTTTTTTGATTCTCGATCAAATTCAGCTTGGAATCTCGTTTCAACGAACACGAGATTCTTCACTGTTTTTACCAAGTGATTTAATAAATTTCTTCCTCGTACCGCGTTAAAAAATGTATATCTTCGATCTTCAATAATCGTTTTGTGACGCTCAATGAAAAACAAATAACTTGCTATTAAATTGACGATTCTATTATAATTATTTGGTTGTAATGGGGTTTTCATTATTTCTGATACACATTTATTATCGACATGACAGATATAACGTTCAATAATTATTAGTGATTGCAATGAACTGTGTTAATGACGAACACGCGAATCGCACACTGATTTTGATTATTAATACGATACTTCAATTAACTGCATGTATCATTATAGTATTAATTAAGTACGCAGAAACCTTAATATGTTTTATCATTATTACAAGTTTACAATACAAATTGTAGAACTTTGTTAAAATCACGGAACCTAATAGGAATTAAAAACATGCGACTAATTGTATGATGGAAATCATTAAATGAGTGCATCCTTGTATTTTGATAAAGTCAAATGTATTTCTAACCAGGTTCTATAATGAAATCAATGACCAGTGGATAATTTTAAATATGTACTTCCTATTGACTCACCCTATATACGAGAGAAAACGAGGTTGTGGGAAAGATAGTTACGTGAGATCTCGGCATCTTCTACGTGGTCTTGTTTACGGGAGGATAACACGGGCGTTCGGTGAGTCTTGCGGGAGCACCGGCGACGTTTCCCCTTTTATCATTCGAATTCAGGGGAGCAGGATTAACGCCGCGGAGAATCGTTCGCGCCGGGCCGACGTTAATTCGTTTCCCTACGTATCGCGTGTCTCTCTCGTCTCTGCTCGCTCATCAAAATCAATCTGATCCTAGAGATTTCTGTTTTTATTTTCATGTTGAATCTACTATCGGTTATAACTATTGTAATAAAAATTAATACAACTTTTTCTATAGTAATTGTTTCAATGTGTAATAGAATGTTTCATAGAATGATTAATGCAATATTTCGAACAGTTATTCATATATGCACTAATGGATATCACATTTCCACGTTAATGTTTTTGTTGTAAATTTGACATAGTAATTAACACAATGGTTCATATAATGAATTTGCAAATAATCGTTTGAAACCGAGATTCAGAGACCAACGTCTCAGATAGTTTATCTATCATCCATTGCAAAGTTTTACCAGCCGCCGCAGTCCATGAAAACCCGTCTCGCGGATAATGTTCGCGAAATCGTCGGCTCTTTTGAACTTCTCGCGGCGCAAAGATCTGTACCGGAGCCGCATTCTGCGGAGGCGAGCCTGAATCGACTCGCACGCGTAAGTTCCGGTATATCAGATGTTATAATTTGTCAGGAACAAACTCGTTGTCCGCCTCGCTCATTCTTTTTTTCGGTCTTTTCGGACAAGTCTCAAAGAGACACTCGGACCAACTTCCTTATCGCCAGTCACACCCACGCCGCGCCGCCTCGGGATGCTTCCGGCTCTAATCATTTGGCGAACATTTTTCAAATACGTTGCGAGAATAAGTTTCGTTCTCAAGATAAGGAAAGTGAGAAAAATTGTTGTAAAGTTTGCGGGTCATCGTACTCGTGCAGACAAAAATATCTGAAATATGCAGGATCTTTCCGGTTGACTACGTGTCACGGCTTCCCTTTCACTTATTCATGCGCCCCTGTTTCAAAGTCTGATAAATTTCGTGGATGCTATTTCAGGGACCGAACTGCTCATTTATGAATATTTGTCATTGTTTTATCATCTTCTTTCTGAATAGATATAATTCAATTATACACATTTACTTCCATTTGCATGGATCTTTGGAATCAAAAAACGTACATAGAATAGAAATTAAATGATCGTACCTATTTTTTTAAGTACAGCAATTTGTTAAGTACAATTTATAATTCTTGTTCCAGAATGGAGACGTTCCAAGAAGCCGGCGTCCAAATGTTAAAAGAGTTCCGGGCGCTGCTTCAACATTCGCCGCTGCCACTTCCTGGGACACGACTCCTCCAGCTTCTGGCGCTGAACATGTTCGCGATCGAGTCGACGCAGCTGAAGGGTAAGTCGACACGTCTTCCTTTCTCACCGCATGTTTATTTGATCTCCGCCCTCGAGGCTTTTTCCTGTCACGATTCGCGACACGTGACGTGGAAATAGGAAAGCGAAATTTTCGCTGAAAATGGCATCGAAGGCAATCCGTAGTTATTATAGCGGAATTATTCATACAGCTGTTACGCGCGAATCACGTTGCGAATGGTGTAGAATTTATATCCCGCTGAATCGCAATTGGAATTTAGATGCATTTAGACATAAAAGCGTAGAGAACTTTGTAGGCGTAAGATTTTTTATGACTTAGTTCGGAATAGTAAACAGATATTGATTGACTTCACGTTATCGAATTATTATCAGATACATTTGAAATGTAGTAACGTAGATAAACCATTATTTGAATAGATTTTTTTATAAAAATTCGTGGGGGTGGGGAGGGGTTGTGAAATATCGTCAATCGAAAAGCTTGTTCAACTATCAAAAGCATAAATTCCTTGTTCTTCAAAAAGCTTTTTAACAATATTCGTTGTCACAAAACAAAACTGTAAGAATGTGTTTTCAAGGAATCACCAGTCATTCATTTTTAATCCTCTTCAGAGTCTAATCTCGCATATTTCAATCACTGTCTAACGGGTTCGCAAATCGAAATACCTTTGCCGAATGCCAGAGTCGTCCTCCAAACATCCTCTCATCCGGCAGAAGTATTTCTCACATCATTATCCGGCATACAGAAACCTATCACCGCTGCCTAATCCCACCATTATATCCGTCGCGGAAAATCCATCGTTCTCGTCCCCTTTTCCATGCCGGGTAGCAATCGAAAACAGGAAAGAGCCGACGCGGCGCGGTCGCGGTGATAGATCGATAAAAGGCGCGTGCGTTCGCCAGCGGGATAGTGATAAAATGAGATGAAGAAAGTTGTTACGACAACGTTGTAACCGGTAGTTTAGATCGAATCTCTTTCACGGCCACGGCCACGGCTACAGTCTCTTTCACTCTCTCGTTATTTAAGCCCGTATTTGCTGCTTTTATTGTTTCACGTGGTACTGTCGGCGCTTGGCAGCGGCGCAACGGCCGCAATAAATCAGAATAACGACTACGCCTGCTGCCAAAACCCATTCGAATTCAATCCGGCGCGACGTATCGTTCCCGGGTATCTCCTCGTTCCCAGACGTCGCCAGACGACGCAAGCTGTCTTCTTCGTCGGGTACCGATTCGCGGATCAAAGCCTCTTTATCGAAACGGAGCATCTTAGCTTCTCGCTTCGATGATCGACCCTCTTATCCGCGTCGATTCCTGTTTTATTGGCGTTTCATGAGGTAATCGAATCGTTCTATTGACGTTTTCATCCAAGTCCCATCGCCTGTAGTTTGCTGTGAATCGATTCGACCATTTTACGGCCCATGATTCTATTGTTTGGCATTTAAACGAAGCCGAAGTTTTAAGCGATTTAATTTTGTTTTGCTCGACTGGCTGGTTAATTAGATATAAATCATTCAATATACTATTCAAAAATCGTGTGCGTCAATCTGATTGCTTCTTTCAATCAGACACGATTCATAATTCACAATTTCTTCACTCTCCAGTCATTTAAACACTCAATATGTCACCGGCAAAAAAAACGCGGCTTCTGATTTCGCTGAAATATATTATTTACACGAGATATACATATTCGTAAACTCGCATAGTGATGTCGCTGATTTGATACCCAAGAGGTATATCTCGATGACGCGACGTAAAGTTAAATGGGATGAACACATACGGTTTCTAGTTTGGGTCAAACTCATTTTCCAAACGCTCACGTTTTCTCCATTTTTTATTTTATGCGTTACGTTCTTTTTAGATTCCTTTCCACCCTCGATGTTTTCGGTTCCGAAATGTATGCTGGATTTACGATCGGTTTACCCCGACTGCTAGGGTATCTAGTCTGATGAAATGTCTGGTTGGGAGGATAAAAACCGAATTTATTTGCCAGACCAAGTACTATTTATTTATTTACGGTTTTTGATCGAATTTTATTTATTTATTTATTATTTTTTTTTTTAATTGATGAACCTAGAAAACGCATAGCTTATTTGAAATGCACAGAGTTTAGAATATCGACCAATATTCATGAACCGAATTTTTCTACGATTTTCATATAATTCGTAGAATTTTAAGAAGATGTAGCAGAGACAGTTTAATATCCCTTGGAGTCAAGCTAAGGGCAGCGTGACTCAACGGCAAAAACGGCAGAGCGACAGAACATTCCAAGTTTTTACAGTCGCGTGCAGGTGCTAGTCTCAAGTAATTATCACTAATTTCTATACGAGAACGAAATTCTTGCCATCAAAAACTTATCTTTTCGTATCAGATCGGAAGCCACTCTGATTGTCTGAATTTTGGCTGCTTTGTTTTGGATGTAAAAAGACCGTCTTCTCCCGGACTTTTGCACCTGTTCCCTTCTTCGGTTTTTACTCCGCTCTTTCGCAGAGAAACGCATTCTTCAAGCATAAACTTATCGTCTACGTCATTCCATTTCCCTTCAAGCGTTTCGTTCATCAAAATCGTTTCCGCAATCTCGCACCTCCGTCGCGGTTTTCTCCTACCTTCTTGCCAAGTTTCTTTCTAGCTAAGATAAAATTGCATTTCCTCCGTTGCGTATACCCGCAGTTTGGGTTTCCACGTATTTATACTTTTCTTGACGAGTGGATTGATTTTAAAGTGGAAATTATAAATGTGAGTTGTGATTGATTCGTTGTCTTAACTGAAAAAGTTTACTAAACGAAGCCTGACTCGTCTGTACAAAATGGAATCGAAAGTACGCATTTGTGGCGAGAGGACAGGCGTGGCCATTAGCGACACCGTTGCTTGGCAGTGAAAATCGATAGAGCGAACCGCAAGGACGTGTCGCGACGGTTTAAGGATGATGAAGCCAGGATCCTGAGGTTCCCCGACCGCAGACAGTATCAACGCCGGATCGTATAAGACCCGATTAGGGATCACATGAGAACCATTGCCAGCGGTGTTTACGATTTCAATTACTACCGGGCCAACCCCTACATCTAGCAATGTCAAGGATGAGGAGGCTGTACATCGACAAGTGTTGCGTTGTATCGTATCGGTTTCTATCTGGTTCGACGATCGGCAACCATTCTCCCGTGCTCGATCATACGAGCTGCCGGGATAATTAAAGCATACTGCGCGGCTAGTTCATCGAGCGAGAGGGTGGAATAAACTGGTTCGTTAGCGAGAGCGAGATCGGTGGCCTTGATTAGAGGTAACCGTACCACGACGACGACGTTACGTGGTACTTGTTTTTGATTCTGGAGGGTGCGTGTCAGGAACCTTCAGAAGTCGAATCGTTCAATATATCAATTTGAATTATATATTTCGTGTTATAAATGGAAGTAGTATCTCTCGGAACGCGTCGGCAATTATCTCAGTATATATTTTGTATTATCTGCTGGGCAGAAAACGTACACATACTCGCAATCACAATCGCGTTTCACAGCCGGCCACGGGATAATCTCGAAGCGAGAAAAAGCGAATCGAATCTTTTCATAGAGCGTGAGCCATCCTCGCATTCGTTCTCGGTTAAACAGCATTTTTCGCTGGTTTTAATCTCCCATTCGCCGGGGACGGGACTTTTTCACGTGCAACAGTTTCGCCAACGACTAAAAACGAAACGTCCGTTTTCTCGGGTCGAATCGTCGAGTCATCCTTGAGACATCCATCAGATCCACTTTGTCGAGGAATTGAAAGCGCTCGGTAGAGGAGAGTCAGTCGACGGTCGGAGTGGTAGCCGAAGATATTGCACACGGGGCAAGATAATCCACGTCTCACCGGCTACTTCAACCACGATGAAGAGATTCCTCCGCGGAAGGAAAAGGGTAAACGACCTTACCCGGCACCTTCGCGTATATACCTATACATTTAGGTACGTATCTAGAGACGCGGCTGCTCGAAACACGGGGTTCGGTCGTTACCAATCATGCTTCTCGGATATCTAAGAAAGGCAGCAGTAGTGCAGATTACAGGTATAGCTACCACTGGAATTGTAGTTTTCATCATTTGATTCGTCTTTTGATTCCATTTGCCTCGGCACGACTCGGCTTCGAGTTCTACTTTGCCTAATATCGCGATACACGTTTATATTGTATACCTTCTCCAAGGTATTAGACGATCTTCCTCTTATTCTTCTTCTTTATGATTAATATAATTAATTGATATTAGCTCATTAATTTCTATTATTTATATATCATAATAGTTCCATTGATATTGTGTGATAAAAAAATTTGAATCAGGAGAGTTTGGTTCGAATATGCCGAAAGGAGTGTAAAGATCGTTTGAAGACGTGGATTCTCGCGTCGGAGTTTATCTAATTACGTCTAACTGTACCGCACATAAGACGAGTATTATTTGCGATAATATGATAGACACAGCCGGCTAATTCTCTCATCATTTTGTAGGTAATTCTCTTGGGTTTTCTTTTTCTTATCTTACTTTCATTATATCGTTGTCCTTCCTTTTCCCACGCGGCAGGCTTTAGCTTCCTACGATTTAACTTCGTTCTCATGTATCTAATGGATTGAAGGTTTCTTTCGATTGACTGATAGAAAAGAGAGAAGATGAGGACGAGATAGGATGATGTATTCGATAACTCAATTATTATTTCGGTATCATGGATTAAGAGTGGAAGAATGTTTCGTAATTATGTTGTTCGAAAATAATAGTCAGATTTAAAAGGTGATAGGACATCAGAGAAAAGTGATAAACTACGGTTTGTGTATTTCTAGCTGAAAGTTTATGTAGAAGTCGTGGAATTATTGAACATAAGAGATGTGCAGTTTTAATAGTTCCATAATAAAAAATTCTGAATTTTGAATTGACTCGGGACAAATGCGTCGATTTAGTATGACGGACTTATTTGAGTTAACTTCTGAGCGTTGTCTTACCTGGAGGAAAATTTTAATAACCGCGAGACGGTGAAATTCGCAAATGACGCATCTCGAATCACTTACTCACCGC